ACTCACTATACACCTATCGTTATTTTCTTGTGTCTCAAAAATTCTTATTCTGTAATATTTCTTTCCAAAAAGAATAAAAAAGCACAGTACCGTGACTGGAACAATACACAAATAACCCGCACATACAAGAAACTATGACGACTTTCGGTCCGACCTGGATCATTAACCAGTCACACACTAACACACGGAGGTTAGATAAGGAAGGTTTGTCAGGAAACAGGACACGTGTTTACTGACGCGGGTCTTAGTCATATGATGACCCACCCCTGAAGTTTCTGGTCATCTGACCAAGGCCTTCCGTTGGCTTACCAGTCAACCCCTTTAAAAATTATGGTTAGGGTGACTACTTAAAGGTAAGGGAGCCTATATACGAGAGGAGGAAGGGACGGGAGAAAGAGGTGGAGATAATAGTGGAAGAGGTAGTGGAAGTAGTAGTAGTAGTAGTAGTAGTAGTAGTAGTAGTAGTAGTAGTAGTAGTAGTAGTAGTAGTAGTTGTTGTAGTGGGCAGGGGAGAAGCGGTAGTGGCACAAATCAAAGTGAAGCGAGTATAGTCATTAGCTCTCTTGCAGTATTTTTCTACTTGTTCTCAAGACTTCCTCCACTTCTGCTACTACCTTTACTTCGATTCACTCCACTCCTCTCTTATGCCACTACCACTTCTACCCCTAACCACTACAACTACTACTTCCACTGCCTGCACTCCCTCTTCAACTCTCTTCTGTCCCTGCCCTCTTCTCATATATGTATATACTGACTTCCTTACCCTGTGTGTAAGGTGACTAGTTAATGCTGTAAGTCAGACAGAAATTTCGTCATTAGTGTCTTTCTTCAATGTGTGGGTTATCTGTGTATTATTTCTCTCCAGCTTATGAGGACTGATCTGAGACCGGGCCACGAGAGCGATGATTTCTCCGAGATTAATTTAATTATACTTTTTTTTTAATTATTCTTGAGCTGTCCAGAAATGAAGTGTCAAGTATATCTCAGAAAACTTGCTCTCGCAAAGCTATACGGAGCCCGTAATTTGAAATGACAATGTCAAGTGCATAATGTATTAGAAAATTTATAGGTTTATTTAATTAATGATTCCAGTTAACAACATAAAAAAAAATTATTCAACGAGGAGTTACACTGGACAATTTCATCAGGAAGCCTACTGTATGAACACACAAATATTGCAAATTTCAAATCTATGCAAACAGGCAGTCCACAAGTTGTTTTAACTCTTAATTAAGCATATATTCTTAGATATATACACTAAATCAAGATAACCACATTATAAGTAATTATATGTAAATATAAATTAAAAAAAAAACATCGTTCTGAAGCTAAGAATCAGGAAATACTGAGTTAAGACCTGAGACTTAAGGCTAACATACCTTGACATATCTGCTAGCGCCTTGCTCATAGTCTCCATCTCTTCATCTTCAGTCTTCTCTTTCCTCTGTGTGTCCTTTCCCTTCTTCAGCCCCATCTGTTCCGTTTTCGGCTGCATGGAAATAAATATCAGCTTGTGCTATAATAAAGTGAATTAATATGTTCAAAAGAAAAGAGCTGAACGTGTATGGATCGTTCAGATACGATATCTAGATGAAGAATTTTAATTATTTTTAGGTTATGAGGAAATAAATTGAAGGTTAGAAAGTTCACAGAGATACGCACTATCCACTACAGCAATATAATCCTGCCTTATATGAAAGTATATTCATTATGAACTAATGTATTTGTTTCTTGTCTTAATTTCAGAATACATGCAAGAATAATGCTACTCTAAAAGTAAAGATTTCATGTTTCTGGTAAAGAGCAGAGCCTAAGAATTACATAAAATTAGTGTATAAGGATTAAGACCAATCGGCTAAACGTGGGTTATAAAGGCTGCAAATCACTTTTAAACATTCAGGAATACTTTGATACCTAAAATAGGAATTAAGGTGGACAAAGCGTATCTACCCTCAGACATGCATACATCGATTTATATACCCTGTGTGTTCGAAATACATAAATAGTTTATTAGTGTTACAATTAAACCTTAAAAAAGTCGATTATGACAAAAATGTATTAAACTTGAACATCAATGAGAGAGAGTATGCCGACTAAAGCGTCAATCTGCAATCACTGATTATTGTTTGTTTTAAACACCTACTAAAAGAAGAACTCACAAAGTTAGATCAAACAGAAGAAAAGGTTAACATCATAAATGGTTATTTCGAGTCAGTCACAAGCTTCTCGACACTAGGTTCGTATGGTAACGAGTAGCCCAATAACCTGCTCAAGATCGACCGCTCCCAAGAATCTGTGAAGATTCAACAAACTATCGGGTGAGCGTGTACATACACCGAGATTACTTTAATCCCTATCTTAGGATTTCAAATATTCTTGATTGGTGGCAAACAGGTGATGTGCAGTCTTAATGATCACTGCATAGTCGATAGGCTTTAAACCTAATAAACCAACGAACCTTTATATCTTCCCCTTTCATACATTTATTAAACAAAAATACCAACGACTCCAACACTATATCTCTCCCTGCTTTTAACATTTCTGTCATGATCTCGTCAGTTCCAGTTACTTTACCTCCTTTTAGTTCACGTAATGCCTCACGCACCTTCCCCACACTCACATCCTGCTCTTCTTCACTGCTACAAGATGTTATACCTCCCTGGCCAATGCATGAAATTACTGCCTCCCTTTCTTCAGCGACATTTACAAGTTCGTCAAAATATTCCCGCCATCTACCCACTACCTCCAGCTCCCCATCTACTAACTCCCTTATTCTGTTTTTAACTGACAAATCCCTTCATTCCCTAGGTTTTCTTAACTTATTATAATTTATGTACAAGTCATTTCTCATAATTTATGTACAATAATTATACTCTGTGTACCCAGAAAGCCAAATCATATACAGTCCACATTATTTTATAATTTACCATTACTGGTATTAATGTTTAATATTGTTATTATTAATTTAATATAAGATCTAGCTTTTTGTGAGAGTAGTGACATAGTGGGTATCGAGTGACAGTTCTGCGACCTACTGTAAGTCCCACTTACCTTTCCCAATTACTTGCAAGTAATAATTCAGGTAATACCCTGTAAACCTCATGCATGTAATTTCCCACACAGGTTTGGATCCAGAAGGGAAGGATAACTTGGAGCAAGAGCCCTACGCCAGCTTCGCAGCACGCTTCAAGGTCAAAATATGTTGCATCTTATTATTATTATTAAAGATTCGCCGGTATTCTCCCGGCCCGGGCTTTTTCCAAGTGGTGGCCCGGCTTTGGCTCCCTCTTTAAGGAGTGTCTGAGACTGAAGTCTCCAATGGGAGGAGGCACAAGTACCTCCTCATCTTTGGGACCAACTGTCCCCAGGCCTAGCCACAAGCTAGGCCTCTCTGGTCTGCCATCCCCGCCCCAAGGGGGCAAATGGGAATGACAGTCTTATGAGCTAAAGGCTCGGGCTCAGGCACCTACCCTACCCTAGAAGGGTTAGGCATGGTGTCGATTATGTTGCATCACAGCAAGTCACTTAATAAATTGGTAACAATTTACTGTGCTGCATATAAATTATGATGCTATGGTAAATTTTTCTTATTTGAGGTTTAGTGCTAGATTTTTTTTACGATAAGACACATCTTTCATAAGACCAATTTACAGTCTACTATATAAATTATGATGCCATACATTTCGAAGTTTAAACTGAATCGACACTTTATATGGTTTCAGTTTTACATTCGTGTTCTCATCAGCAAAGCGTCACGACACCGTTCGTCACATTCTCTATGAATGAACATAAATTGAAAAAATGATGGCATGCCTTTAATCCTAGCCCTTTGACTGTTTCAGGCCCCTTTCTGAAACTGTCATTCTATGTCGCTCAATTTTTGAAAAAAAAAAATAATTTTTTCTTATGAAATGACAGAGAATCTTTTCCCGATGGTAATGACACCAAAAGTTCGAAATTTGGTCGAAAACTCATGGAATTATGCTCCCGCGAAGTTGGCGGTCTCGGCGACATATGCGTATCGGCGATTTCGCCGAATTTGAGCCCTATTTTCAGCCAATTCCATTGTTCCAGTTGACCAAACTCATAGCTATTTCTTTAGAACTCCATTTTAATCTATCAGCTAAAATAAAAAACAAGAAACCGCCCATTAACTAATTTGGACTACCCAAATTTGGTGGTCAGAAATTGGCAATTTGGCCAATTTCACGCAAACTAAAAAAGATGCCAATTTCAAGTAGGTCCCAGAATAAACAAGGTAGACATTTTCGTGGCACTAAAATAACAATGCTCTGTTCATTAGTCACATCTCTAGGCCCCTCTTATATTATTATTGCTTTCTATTTTGATTTTTTATTCATACAAAAAAATATAAAATCTCTATTTCTGTAATATGTTTTCCATTTTATCACCTAAGACCATGAAAACGCGAAAACAACGATAAATACTATACGAAAATGCACCTCAAAGTCGGCGTTTTATTCCAAAAAAACGATCAGAGTTTTTTTTCTCATTACGCAATGTGTGCTGCAGGATTTTTTTTATGTGGTGCACACTGACCACACAGACCCATTCTCTCACATGTGGGCCTACCAGCTTTCTCCCGCTTGATTTGAAGCCGCTAGAATTATTGAGTATATATACGTCAGAAACATTGGCTTGTAAGACGTATTTATACGTCGAAAACAGTCAAAGGGCTAGACTTGATATCAGTTATTGTTGTGAAAATATATAAGAAACTACTGTTGTTAATGCTCCTTCACATAGCTCTTAAGCATACAAACTTGGTGTTTTCGAAGGACGGGCTTCATGCAGTCATGCTCAAGATAAATTAGTAATAAAAATTTTACAGTTGATAAATCATACATAAGCAAAATCTTCCTTTTCCAAGTTGAAACTGAAGTATGGACCCCAGGCCCAGAGGCTGGCGGGGCAAACAGCTGTTTCCTTAGACCAGTTGTTAATATAGGAACGTAATTCCGGACGGTCGAGGCTAGCCAGCGTGGTGCTGTCCTGGGGGCACTGAAGATCAAGTTGTCCTTCTGCGCGAAGAGTAGCTTCTTCATTGTGTTCTTCTATAACGCCAAGGCGAGGTTCCTAAGAGATTAACACTTATGAAACGACTGTTGCAAACATTAGCAGGGATTACATTTCAGCATGAGTAAAGCCTACATTCAAAGTTTTCTTTTTTTTGTGATAAATAACTAGAATTATAAAAGAGAGAAGGGATACAAAAGTTTTTTCAGACAAATATATAGGCACATATTAAGTTCCATTTGTTTGCAATGAACAGGGAGTAGAAGTAAACATGCTAATCATGTTCACTAATGCTGATCCTGCATATACTGTTGAATACAATACTAGGTAGACATATTTTGATCACCATGGGGTATAACAAGTTATCTCCTGCTTCCCTGCTGCCTCTGCCACTCCCCTCGTTTCACCTACCATTTTGTGGGGTGCATGTGATAGGATGTGGACCAGCCATTCTGTGGCAGACATTGTTAAACTGTGTGTGGTGGTAGTGTATGTATGTGGTCTAGTGTATGTGTGGGTTCGCATAGTGAGTGGAGTGTTATAAGTATCGAAGAGTGAGGTGGCGCGTCGTGGGTGTATAATGGACGTGAAGCTGTCTATTTAATATACTATAGAGTGAGCCAGACGGCTCCTTCCATTTCTCAATATCCTGATAGCTAAAGAACACTTTAATTCAAGGTTTGCAGAAAACTGGACAACAATGGCGACTTGATCTATAACAGGGCAAACCCACGACCAAATGCGAAATCAACAAAAGTTTCTCGGAACACAAAATTTGAGTACTTGTCAAAGGATTTCATAAGGTTGGAATTTTCTAGACATATCATGGAAAGAAATGAATCTGGTAAACTGATAAAACTGCCACCACCTACTGCGCTCTAATGTCAGTCAAAATGAGGATCACTTACCCCAAAAAAAACCTATCAGACAAATCACCAAGGCAATCATTCAGTGACAGGGATGTCACTGCCGGCATTTACGTCATTACTTTTCAGTGTTGCAACAGTTTGTATGTAGGTGAAACACATTACAAGCTGTGCTTAGGGCACACAACACTAACAATGTCAAACTAGTCCTAAGAGTTGCAGCAGTCCATAAATCGAGATCTAATAAAACAACCAAACCACATAACTACATCTCCATGGCTTCTGTTGTCTCTGCATTTTGAGTGAAGAAGCGTGCTGAGCAGGGCGAAACGTCTCGTCAATAAGAATACAAATTGTTGCACGTGTCTTACTTATCCAATCAAAGGAGCGCAAACATTACTTCATCTAATGCGAAATTACTACTAGGTGGGACAAATTGAATACAAAACAATGGAAACACCACGACATCATTGCTACTGGGTGAGACAGATTAAATGCAACACAATGAAAACATTCTTCTTGTTTCGAAGATATAACTATAACGAACGAAGAAAATATTCTTCGGAATATCAACCCAGGATAGCCCAAAAGAGCCAGCTAAAGTATAGCTTATTTCCATTAAGTTCCTTCCTTAGGATATATCCCAGAACATCCAGCTAATTCCTAGATACAGTATATTTATTGTTAGATGAACATGGGCAGCAAGTGTAAAGGAAGGAGACTTGCCCAAGTGTTTCATCTCACCTAGAAATCGAATCCGGGTCGTTACTGTTGTGAACCGATAACTTTACCACTGAACTAAGTCATGTATGATTATTTATTGAAAGGTCTCTGTCTGAAAACAATGGAACGATAACGAATGAGACAATTTTAATGAAACAAAACAAATTCTACGAGACCAGGTAATGTGCTTCGTCGTCCGATTTGTAAATAATATTGCAGACTCTTTTTGTAAAAACGACGACAAAATAATTGCAACTATAGGGAGGGGGGAGATTACAATCCTGACACGTGAATCAAAAACGAAAAGATGGTGAATGTATAATGAAGTATCAATTGGTTTTTATTCTGCAAATGACGCTAAAAAGCACAAGTTGAATGTTTTTGATGAGGGTTTAAAGAACATAGATCCCACCTCATCAGAAGTATCGAGCAATTTTTTTCATGAGCAATTGCAAAATGTGTTAATTTTTACAAAAGCAGGGCAAGTTTTTTGGGATCGTTTTCTTACCCCCAAAAAATACATTAAAAAAGCTGATAATTTTCTAGAATCATTTTGAGATAAGGGGCAAATATTATGTAAAATGATCAATATATGTTTTAACTTTTTTGAGGCATAAATAAAAGGTACGCACAGACTGGTGATAAGAAGTCTACATGAATGTCGGTTAAGCAACTGCCTTTTCGCAGCAAATCTTTCATGATTTAAAGTTAAAAAATTGATTTTAAACTTTAACATTCAGAAACACTTAAACCCGGGGAATAAGAAGGGGTAACACTAGCTTTCCCACACAAGCAGATTCCCCGGGGGTTTTCTAAGGTTCACTGTGTTGTAAATTTTATTGTTACAGTTGGCCCGGATTCCCCTTCTCTGTTATTTTCGGATAACCCCGTTTCAAGGTCAGAAGAGTTTTTAAACTTTAGCGAAGCCATTAAGAAAGGGTAAATTTTGCTTTTTATTGGCTGACGTACTTTCTGGATAACCCATTGACTTTTTCGATTGGGTGGGGGTCAGTGACGGGTGAGGGATGGGGAGGTGAGGTTTTTTCTTATTAATTCCCAAAGGGTACAAGAGCGTGCCAAACCAAATGGTCGGCGACTGTGGGCAAGATCAACAATGATTATTTTCAAATGGATCTGTGCGGGACAGTTATACTACACAAGAAATGCAGGCCCCAAAAAGCAGGGTCAGTCAAGCGAGCCTGGCACAAAAAAAGATTTTTCGAATCAATAACCTTTTTAGTTTTTGATGGTAACAATATTTTTTTAAAATCAGAACGACTTAGCAGTCCTCACTTGACCTTCAAACAATCCCAAATACTGCAGCCAAACCTACTTTAAGCAATTTATAATAAAAATTTTGGCTAATTTTAGAAATTTAAATAATTTTAGTGCCAGAAGGAAAAAAACTGGCAGGAAATGGGAGAAATCGACAAACCCAAAACCAGCATTCCTGGAGTGGGAAACCCCAGTCGATGGGGCCCCCACTCCAAAACCAAAAGATACAATACTAATGCCGAAAAAAAAAAAACCCCCCCCAGACCAACAATACCACCAGTCCGATAACATTCTTCTTTGCAAAAATACAGGGTCTAAAGCAGCTACAAAAAACAAAATACCTTTTTATCCGTGGACTGCTTGCAGAGGCAAAGGCAATGTTTTGCGGGTTTCACTGAGACCCACATAAAGGATCACTTGGACAAAGAATAGGGTCCCAGTTTTCCCCTTAAAAATTGACGAGAACAGGCAAAAGGGGGTTTGGCCTGCATTGCAGAGCACTTGTTTGCACAGAACTGCTTAAAACCTCAAAGACGTAGTGGAATTTTACATAAAAAATCGAGAACCAAAACCTAGTCATTGGGAGTCTACAACCTCCGGATGCAACACCCAGCAATTCCAGGGAAAACTGTTAAAAATTTGACCACTGTCTGGAAAAACTTTCCAGCCCCGCACCCAACATTCTCCTGGGGGGTTTTAACTTAAGCACCTAAAAAGGAAAATTTGCAAAAAATATTGTGCAGAAAAAAAAACCAGGGGCAGCTCCGAGAAAAAATCACACTCACACGAGCTTTTAAATCCTGCACAAAATTCAAATTTAAACCAGCAAATAAAGAGCCTAAAGACGGGGAAAACACTAGACCTCATTTCACTAACAATGGGATCTATAAGAAATTCACCATACAAAAACAAAATACCAGATCACAACATAATGAGGTTCAGACATGTATGCATGGGGCCCCCGACCGACAAAATGGACTATCAAGGGAGCTTTACCAATTCAACTTCAATAACAAAAACAAAAGGGGGGCCCAAATAAACCAAACCAACCGATATAAGCGGGAGATATACTAACAACACAAACCCCAAAATTTTGCCCAGAACAGATTAAAATCGGTGGCACTCGATGTAGCACAAGGGGTTATTCCCCTAAGAAAAAGGAGGAAGATTTAAAAAAAAAGAGACAGGCGCTCCCTTACAGCACGGAAAAAGAAAAACAAGCGGGTAAAAGAGGTCAATATATCAAAAGCGCAGGGAGACACGGGGCGAGAAATAGCAAGCATCGAACTTAGTAAAAGAATCCCTTTTGGAGTCAGGAATCGCGGGGAAGAACAAAAAACCATAAATGAAATCGAAAGAAACCAAAATTTCTTTTTTCCCATGCCAAATCAAAATCAGAACAACGTCCAGTATTGGGCCCCATTAAACAAATGGGGGCCCACACAGATGACACAAGGGAAAAAATGAGCAAATCAAGTCCCAAAAAACTCGTTTTTAGCAAGCCGCTAACCGACTGAAGTCGAAGCCAAAAAAAATTTTTTTTTGAAGAGCCACAAAATTTTTTACAAACAAGCCTATCCGATGTTATCCTGACCCAAAAAGACTTCGAACAGGGGAAAATGCATGCCCAGCACTCTGCCCCAGGCCAGACTCAGGAACCTTGTTCACAAAAACGCAAGAAGCCCCTATCACGAGCCTTTTCCATCCTAAGAGGGGGGCATGGGCACGGGGGTTTTCCCCCCAGTTACTAAAAACAACAGAATAGCCCCACCCCCCAAAGGGGGCAGTAAAGCAACAGCAAAGAACTACAGCCCAATAGCACTAACACCCCCAAATAAAAATTTTTAAAAAGGGCCCTAAAAGAAAGATCACCACCCATCAAAACCCATTTTTTTACAAAACCCCAGGGAAACAGGGGTTTAAAACAGGTGGGCCCCCTTCGGGTCTCAATTTACGGATCACACGACAAGGTCCAAAATTCCCCTAAAAAGACAAAAAAGAATGCAGATGTAATAAATACAGATTTTTCCCAAAACCCTTCGACAAGTTTTACCAGGGGCGTAATAGCGAAACAAAATCGCGCAAAAGGGAATAACAGGAAAAGTCGGTCAAAGGATCAATTTTTCCCCCTAACAGAACACAGAAGTACCCCGCCCAACAGAGTAAAGCCCCCAGGCACTAGGGTGAAAAGCTCTTTTCCCCAAAAGGGGCA